GGGGAGGGGGAAAGGGGTATAGAGAGAATAGGGTGGGAGGCAGGACAAAGCAGACAATAGTATTATTGGTCGGTGTAGGAGCCGGGCGCGCGGGGTTTGGTTCAATCGGCTGCAAATCGGGGCCACCTTCCACCTTCCACTGCCCCCTTCGACAACAAAGTTTCACCACCCTGCTGCCTGCCTGCCGTGCCACCCGCTTTATCAGCCCCACATCGCTCACCTCCCATTTCGCCCTGATTGTGGTAATAGCGCCATACCTCTGTCGTTGTCGAGCTTAGCGCAGAGCGTTTATATTGTCAGCTGCAGATGCTCCATGCGCTTTTGATGATAAATAAGACGCGTCTCCAGAGATATAGTTTCTGCGATCCATCTGAGCGCCCGTATTTATGGGGCAGGGCGCCTGGGATGCCAGTCGTCACTGCACGCTTCTCGAGGCCGTATAACGCATTCATGATTATGACATTGCGAGCAACACGCGGGCCCGTGCCTTTGACTGGCACCCCCGCCGCACCGACCCCGATCACACAGGCGGTATTCACGATGCGCCTATATACCCCTTATCTCTAGCAATAAAATAGAGGCCGGGGGCGGGGGGTGAGGGGTGAAGGAATTGACTGGGGTGGGGTGGGTGAGGGACACCGCCCTGGGAGGCGTCACAACCGTCGCATGCCCTCGCCAGCCGCCAGCCCCAGCCCTGTTGCGCCTGCTGCCCCTTCATGGCATTCCGGCCGAGAGTTTCAAGGGCCGCATGGTTCGTCATAAAACTCAAGCCTGCGAGAGCGTTGAGTGACAGGCATGGCCCCGGCCCTCACTGCTGGGAGTAGGGTAGGGTTGGTTGGGCGCCGTCACCAACCAACCCATCCGACAGGGCGAAAAGAACAAAAAAGCATTCTCTTTTGGTTATACAATTCAGTTCTCTCCTCACACAAAGTATCCGACACGAGGAAGTGTTCGTCAGCCGAGTTAACACTTGCAGGTGGTGCACTTCGAAGGTTGTGTTGTAATTACCCTCGCCCACTTGGTTATGAGCACATTCACTTGGCGAATGGCGGGAGCTCTGTGCCAGCAAGACTCAAAGGTAGTCCACCTCTTAACGGATGCTTGACGGACGGACGTACTTTCCACCTAGATCATCCCTAACTTTTTGTTCATCTGGTGAATGTTACACCAATGTGCGTTCTACGACTCACTGTAAAAAATATGTTCGTTCATGAACGATATATTTTGTAATTTGCCATTTACAAAACGAGTCGTACACGTACAACATACCACTCTCGCTCGTTATTCGATTGCAAGTCCATACGCAGGGCTTGCAAATATTACAATTATAAATTGTAATTGTACGACTTCTTACATGGAAAATTTTCCTGTACCCGGTTACCCCCGGCATACGACAATTTTTTACAGTGACTATGTTAACGTCAAATTTCGCCCTTTATGGCGCGCGGGGTTGTGCGTGGGTTCCTCGACGCTTCCCCGTGGGTACCCGTCCCACGCCCGGCTGGCCCCCCCCCCCCCCCCCTCCAACACCTTTACCCTCCAGCCACGACGTGACGTGACGACGAGCAAGCAACTCTATCCACCTTGATGGACCGAAGCAGAGCCGAGGCGCGTGGTAACGCCTGCTAACGCGCCGTGACGCCAACGCCCCCACCCCCCTCTCTCTCTGGAGGGAGCGTGGGCGCCGCGCGCGCTCTCTCACTCTCGCTCTCTTTGCACATCGGGCCGCCGCCCCGAACACGCATTAATGAACTCGCAAAGCGAAATGGCCCTCCTGGCGTTGGCGCGTGTGTGCGAGGGGCGCATATGTGACGGAAGTGACGAGGCAGGACGCAGTATGTGTGACTGTGTGACGGGCGACTGCACGATAGCGCATCACAGTCGGCTGGAGGCGGCGGCGGCGTGCAGCGCTCCGTGACTTTAGAGAGGTCCTTTGGTGTATATTCGCGAATCGCACCCAACTCCATCCACAAACTGGACCAGACCAACCAGACAGAAAATTGTACTGGAGATTTTGAATCGTTAAAATTTGCAGTCTAAGTAAAGAGCCAAAAGTATGAGGAAACAGCAGCGCAGAATTATTTCTCATTTTGAGCAATAATTGATTCCGTGGCGTGTACTTATTCAGCGCACACCCGGATTCACTCACGACAGGAATCCGACAGAGAGGAGCAGATTAAGGGATTTCGAAACGAAATAATAGATACACTTTTCTTACGTTGCAAGCGTGTGTGTGTGTGTGTGTTCTTTGCAGCGACGACACGAAATGACGGCGAACGGGTGTTCGACAAGTACAAGGACAAAGGAGATGGCGGGGAGGTATAGGAAAGGGGAACGGCTCCTTCGAAAATACCCCGCGGCGCATTGAGAGGTTCGGATTATTGCCGTTATTTCAACTGTTCTTTCTCTCAGAGGAGGGGACGTTTTCCCGCGGGACACGGCGCGGCGGGGCGAAAGACAAATCCAAACTCTCGCGGACCAGTCCAATGGCCCTCGAGCTCGAGCCACGGCGCCGTGAGGTTGCGCGCTGTTATGTGGGAAGCTTTTTCCTTACTCCGGGAGAACCATGGTAGAACCAGAAGTTCTGTAGGTTTGCAAGAGTCTCTATGGGCAGAGATAAATGTCCGAGAAAAAAAGGCGGTGAGCCTGTATAAACAGGTGTTCTCTGCTCTGGCAGGCGCAGAGTCGTCGAGCCACCACAATCACAACAAAAGATCGCCTAGGTGCTACAGAACAGTTCGTCTCCTTAAGCCTCCCCCTTCTCTTACCCCCAACTCTGTTGCACAGCTGCTCTGCCCCACCTGATGACCGCTCTTCTCTTTGACCCCACAGAGAAGCTCTTCAAGAAGAAGCTCATGACCAGCTTCTTCGCTCTGCTGCTCATCATCAAGATGGTGAAGATCAAGCTCATGTTCCTGCTGCCGCTGCTGCTGGGCGTGGGCACCGCCAAGAAGCTGCTCCTCAAGGTGCTGCTCTTCCTGTTCCCCGCGCTGTCGCACCTCTTCAAGCTGTGCTCCTACTACCACGCCAACTACGCCAAGTACCACCATCACCACCACAAGGTGAGAACAAACGACTAGAGGCTCTAACACTTTGCTGTTGAACGGACTTGTGCAACTTAATAAGAAACTTCTGTTTAAAGTTTTATCACTGCGAAAAACGTCATCGTAAATTTATTGCATTTAAGAGTTACAGAATATGTTGTACAAACACTCTGTCAATCCAAACGTGTACCTTGTACACTTTAAATAAAGTGTACGTGGCATGTATGCTTTAAATAATGTGTACATACCTATGTACACATTTACAAAATAATGTGTACATACTCATGTACACATTTATAAATGTGTACATGGGTATGTAAACATTGTTTAAAGCATACATGCCATGTACACTTTATTTAAAGTGTACAATGTACACACTTGAATTGACAGAAAGCCCATTCTTGATCGTCTATGGATTCGACAATTTGACAACACATCACGGAAAATTTTCCTGTCACCCTTACAAGTATTTCTCCGTGTGATAATCTCTCCTCGCATACTGTTTGCATAGGGGGGTCCTTTTCTTTCACTACTTCTCTCTACATTGAGGGTGCGACAGGTTTAGGGGCATGAAGGTGCTGTTTGTCACTTTGCGTCGACGCCTCGGTGCTCGGCGTCTGCTGTGTACCACCCCCAACACCCCAGGCCGGGCAGCCCCACACTAGCCCTGGGGGTCCCCGGAGGGGCACTTCTTTGCGGCGCCTGACAGCGCTGCGGCGCCGGGCGGCGCCTCTGGCACGGCCGCAGACGGTGCTGAGGCAGGAGGAGCAGGCCCCGAAGAGGGACTGCGACACGAACCAAAACCAAAGGAACGGGCGAATTGGTTTCGGACGGAGAGTACGTTGTTTGGGGAGGTCATTTCATGGAATATCAGCAGGAAACCAAAAAAAAGGCGTTAATCATTTATTTACCTGCACTGTTGAGCTAAGTCAAAAGGCCCAAATGGCTGTCTCGTTCATGCCCAAAAATATACACAGAAATATTTTATTTGCACTTGCTTAACACCCGCGTTGTGTTTCCAGATCGCCCACCACCACCACGTGATCCCGGTGCCAGTGCCGCAGCCCGTGCCCGTGCCCTCGCCGCCGCACCACGGCGACGTGTACTCCGGGTCGCCGCCGCCGTACTCGGGCGGGGGTCCGCACTCGTCGTACGCGCCGCCGGCCTCCGGCCCCGTGTACGGCGCGCCCTCCGGCCCTGGCGGCCACGACGACGCCAACCCCTTCGGCGAGTACCTCGGCGGGGGCGCGCCCTCCGCGCCGAGCGGCCCCGGTCCGGGCTACGACTACCCCGCGCACAACCGGAACGAGAACCTCGGCGTGCTGCCGGGCAACCAGCAGAGCAACGACCTGATGGCGGGCTGGGGGCTGAACCACGGGCTGGGCGCCGCCCCCGGCTGGGACGACCAGCGCGTGTACCGGCACACCCCGCCGGCCGCGGGCGGTGCGGCGGGCGGTGCGGGGGGCGGCGGCGCGGCGGGTGGAAGCGGCTCCTCCAAGAGGAAGCAAGGGGTGAGTACGACAACCATGACGTCTCGAAGTCGACGCAGTTTTGTTATCCGCTTTGACCCAGAAAAACACCATGTGTTCTCGAATCATTCCGCTATTGCAAATTCCCTCGGTTCACAGGCGTCGTGCCCGCTTTCAGCCCAAAGCACAAGCACCCCACTTGTTCTTAGCACTTCCGCTCTCGTGCTGCTGGGTGTCACCCCTTCTATTCCCTGCTGTTCCAGGGGCGTGCTCATTGCTGAACTGATCACGTCCACCCCCCACCCCCCACCCCTTCCTATTTTATCGATATCACATGGATCAGCCACTAGAGGGCCCGCTTCGGTGGGGTGCGTAGACTCCGCTCGAGTAGACCCTGAACAATGAAATACTGTTATTTTTACTATGTGAATGAATGTAATGAAACCAAAAGGAGTGCATAGATTTGTCACGTGTCTCCTCGAGAAATGGCTACAGCGTTTTTATTGAAATACGACACAAAATTGGAAACTTAACGACTGTTATGTTATGTAGCTATTTATCAGCATGGAGTTATACCACTGACAACTATTTTGGACGGTGTCCAGTGTCCAACACCCTTGCCTGGCCTGGCCACCGTCCCGTTTCGTCCGTTCGCGACAGGGAGGGACGACTCGATACGGCGTACAGTCAGCCCTCCCCCTTCCCCCGCACCGTTGCATTTGCAACTCAAATCCAAACGCTATCCTTCCAGCGGTGGCCGAATTTAATCCCAACCCCCCTGGCGCCGCTAGCTACC